GTAATTATTATTTGCCTCCGTGGTTGTGGTAGGCAGCAGCAGATTCACATAAATGTCTATCAGATACACCATGAATGACTGGGGAATTATTTTTTTAACCGATTTGATATTTGGCCGGAACGCAAGTCGAATAAGTAACAGCCTATTGCTTTGTTACGTGCGTTGATTCAGCTTAATGGGGAGCATTTGATCTATAGCCCACGAAAAAGTGTACGTGAACTAGCCTGTCAGACGGAAAAAAATCATGAGAACTTTCCATCAGATTGATAAAAGCACCAAGCCTGGATCGCTAACATCAGTAAAGTTATGCGGCTCTGATTATAAGGTCGCGAATGTGAGAAAATAGCGCCAATCGAAACTTCATACTCAATACTAAATGATAATGAGTAGAAAAAAGGGAACTTGTAGATGGTAGCTTTTTGAGGCTAGTTCAATGAAGTCCTCAGGCTTGTCCTCTATTTTTGCGAATAATAATGTGGGGGAGATTAAAGGACAGCTTTTGCTGGACAAGTGAATAGTCTTTTTACCATTCAGCAGATGTAAATCTGATAAATGGCAATTATTAGTCGATAATGCGATAAAAGCAGCATTGTGGCTATCCCTATCCAGAAAATCCATGACATGTGAGGGGGGATGTGTATGAAAATTTGGCATATGCTGGCCTCATTCTGAAATTCCCCCTCCCCACCCTCTTCCTACAACCTCACTCGCCAAACAAAAGCTGGGATTCAGAAGCAAATCATACAGTTTTAGAGACTATGGGTAGAGCATATTTATGAGATGTATTCAACTAATAGTCCTGCATCACCTTAAACGAAATAGGGAGATTATTCTTCATATTAGTGTAGTTCATTACCATAGCAAAGACAAGTTAGCTTGTTCGATAATCCCAACACATTTTTTTTGTTATTCGGTTTTCGAGACTGCCATTAAATCAGATAAATGAGATGTGCTCACCGTATTTCGTTTGAGCCGATGAAAGATTGGTAGCTGAATTTTCCCACAACCATGTGAATAACTCTTTTGTTTACATTCAATTTCATCTAGCCTTGCTTTCCCAGAAGGTATCCTCATTCCGTCTAGAGTGGACTGCAGTTTCGACCTGAACTAGCCCCCTCAGCACTCTCAGCGGGATTCGAACCGTGATAGTGCAGCGTATAATCTCGACACATCACCCACTACGTCAGAATACCAAAAATGCCTTTGGGTCACAGGGCAAATGCGAACTTGCAAGAAAGCCAAGAATCATACTGTCACATTCTGTGGTGAGATTGTCGATGAAGCAAAGTTACATTTACTATTAAATTACACATTTTTCGTTTGTAAGTAGGTAAGCAAGTAGAGATTATACGCCAGATTGTCATGGTTCGAGTCCCGCTGAAAATGCTTGCGAGACCGGAGTGAGATCGAGACTGCAGTCCACTTCAGCCTGAATGAGAATACCTTTTGGGAAACAAAGCCACGTGACAAATGGGTTGACCTCGTTGTCGCAACTTGGTCTTGTTGTCATGGTGACTTGATAGAACGCACCTAGTCGGAAGTCGTCTGCCATAGTAGTTGTCATGATTCCCAGCATCAGACCGTGGACTTGATACATTCTCAAACGTCTGTCTGATGCTGGGAATTATGACAACTACTATGGCAGACGACTTCGGACTAGGTACATTCTACTAAGTCGCCATGACAACAAGACCAAGTTGCGAGAACAAGGTCAACCTACTTCTATAAATCGGAAGGAGACTTCTACCATACCAGAAGCCACACGATCTTGGTCTTCATATCTTCAAAGCCACGTCATAGCATTGCGGGAAACTTCATCTACCAGTCCTCATTTTACCTTTAACGAAATCTGATAAATACATTTCATATAAATTATCCATTTGTACATACATTCCGCCCGAATTGTAATCGGCATCGTCAGTGAGAAGCGGTCGCCTTAGCAACAAAATACAACCCCTCAAAGAGACTAACTAGTCAGTTCGATCGCTTATTCTGTCTTGGTACACTCACCTGTTCCTTAACCACACCATCTTGGAATTCACACCTTCGTTTGGCCGAATAGATTTCCAATTGAGCCTCGCTGTGGATACTTGGCAATTTCCGGTGGCGCCGGTCGACAGACAGCGATTGGCACCACAACGAATAGACGAGGCTTCCGTTTTACGCTTAATCTCATGGCGCCATGAACCTCTGCAGGCCGTGATCCTCCACATTCGACGACAGGTACAGCTGCTCCTCAATCTCATTAATGCTGTCGATGAGATTGTGGCCCGAAAGTGCTCAGGAGATGGGAAGACCACGATGCAGTGGTCTTTGTTTTGGTCGCAGAAGTAAATTAACCCCGTTTCAACGTGGATACGCAGACCGAGTTGCTGGCCAAAAGGGAGATTTCAGCTAATCTAGAGGATGGGTGGGTTTGGGCTAAAGTGAACAATCGGGTGTGATTACGACCGCCAAAAAGGGCACACGTTCTGACGAAGGGAATATAAACAAGTCAGAAGTTGTGATAGAGCGGGAGTGAGATACGAGAATAGGGAGTAGGCAGAGGTACCAAAAGAACTTGTCTCTTTGACGAGTTGTCAAGACTAACATGACTGACTGGCGATGCTTGCGAAAGGTCTGGGACTGTGCCGAGTCCACGGTCTGAAGATGGGAATTATCGTTACTCACATAGCAGAGCAATTTGGACAAGGTGTGTCTAACTAGGCCGCCCTGACA